ACGTCATACCAAAAAAGACTTGAGGCTGCAATTGCTGCCAAAGGTGCTTCAACAAAGTACTGAGTAGGGGGTCTGAATACTTTCCGAATGCACTGTATAAACACTTCTGATTAACTTTCAATAAACTATGATAACTGTTAGAAACAGGGGGACAGTGAATTCTAGTCCTGCCTTAGGTACAAAGGCAGCTGAGTGACTGTAAGCCAGTCACTCTCTCTCAGCCCTAGGAAGAAGCCACTGGCACTCGCAAGCCACTTCTGAAATCGTGCCAGGAAAACCTCAGGGACTAGTCCAGATAGTCACCAGGAGTCAACACTGAGTTGAAGGCACCAAAAAGCCCCCAAAACCAAAAATGATAGGTAATAACGCATATTATGGTGTGAATTTTAGAAAGACTTACCAGCCATAAGCAAACAGATAATGCACATTGAGAAAGCGACCACCATAATAATAGGTAACTGGGGAAAGAACGAAATGCACATAATTAGGAGGCAATGCACAATGCATAACAATTTGAAAGTCCAGTTATATATGATGTACATACAGAACCCAACAGTATAATATTGTGGGTATTACTTCATTAGGTGCATCCAGCTTCAGCTTCAAAAAAGTTTAAAATACTACAATATATACGTCAGCTTTTAATGTCCAGAAGGACACACATAACATTTTAAAACATACGTTATGTCATCATGAAAACCTATTATGCATCCCAAAACATACTGGTGTTGCACACTGCAAAAAAAAAAAAAGTCCTTTTTTGTTCACTGCACATTTCTAGTACACAACATAGAAAATATTGTCAGTGATGCTAAATTAGATGTCTAATTTAAGCTAGTTCTAAAAGAACTGGATTCTCTCTAGATGAATTTAAAGAAAAGAATGGAGTTGGTCAAGAAACAAGAAGTTTGCCCTCTAACTCCATCCTTGTGTTCTCCAATCCTTTCCATCCTATAATACAAGGACTGGCAACTTGTGGGTTGCGTGAAATTTAGTAGCACCATTTTTATTTTTTAAATAAAGCGGCAAAACAGGTACCGTAATCATCTATTTTTGTTCCCCCTCTCTCTCTCTCTCTTCCCCCCCCCCTCACAAAAAGGCATGAACATTGTCCACGGTCACTTCCCAGCTGTCTTCAGTAGGCATTTAGAAAAAAATATGGGGAACTTGACTACAAAAAGTTTGCCTGCCTTGCTATACTCCTTTGATTTTATTTCTGCTTTTTCTATTAAGCTTATTAAAAGCACAAACTGAAAGGCTGCTGAATCATTACTTCCCACAATCCTAAGTGCAGCTTTCTGGCCCATAAACTTTCCCTTACTGCATGCAGAAATTAATGACTAAACAAAAAAATCCAATTATTAATTTACATTTCTTTTTCTAATCTCTCATAACCATGAACAGCAAAAACGCTGGGGGGGGGAAGCTGCATTCGGTGCATTAATCCCTTTTTAAAATTTAAAATCACTTCTGCAATTCCACTTGTTATGCTTAACCATTACAAGACCACACAGTACATATAATAAAAGTACAAAGCTATGACAACCAACTCACCCCTTTTCAATCTCTCCAGTACAGCCCATGAAAATTACAGCTAAAAGCTTCCAAATAAACCAAGATGTAAAGCCACAGTTTTAAACTTGCTTTCAAACCTTGTCCTGTTTGGAAGCCATTGGCCAGGGTTTGGGGGTTGACAGAATAGAAAGCAGTAAAGAGGCACCAAGTGGGCCAAGATATGGCAGCCTGAACTGGGCTACTGCAAGACTTAAAGCTCATCTCCAAAGCTGTTTGATTTGCCAACTATATAATTCTCAACCTTTGGGAAAAATAATGAGACTCATTTAACAAATCCTTGGTATTCTCCTTTACAAGGAATATTTATATCCTGAAAGATGTCCTACATTTTATCAGACACCATTTGGAGGTGCTAAAAGACCTGTAATCCCAAAACTTCATTAATCTAACCAAATTCAGTAATGCTTTTAAAAATATATACAAATAGCAAAACATTTATAAAATCCTTACAGCCAAAAACTTCCAATCTTTCTGTACATGAAGAGGACTGAGAGAATCTACTTCATCCACTGAATAATTTCCAAGAAAGAGATCTATAGCATCCTGAAAAACAATCCAGAGTATAAATTAAATGCCATGTCATCTTAACTGTTCCCCCCCCCCCAAAGTACTTCACAGTCTTCAAAATCCAGCCCAATTTGTGACAATTTAATGAAGCAGCAGCATAGTACATATCCCTGAGCACACTGATCACATTCCTTTAAATTCAACAGCTAAAGCTAAATAAATGCAACAAATGGCAATGTCAAATCTGGGAAGTTATTACCTGTCTAAATCCATCAGAGAAGTTGTTTTTATAGTAACGAATTAGCGAGTTCCAACCATCCATTAACAGGCCCCACTGCGTTCTCTTTCCAGTTCTGAATTTTTGAAAATAAGATTTCAATATTAATACAGAAGATCTCTCAAAAAGTCAGAAATTTAGCATCAAGTACTTACATATTAGAAACTGAACCATATCGAAGTTCCTTGCATCCACTTATTTTGCAAATATGCAGGTGAGGTGCATGTATTATTAATTTCATTTCATATTGCTCTTCCAGCAGGTCTTGATGTTAACCCCATGATTAAAAGGACAAATTGAGTCTTTTAGGCTATTTAAACTGTAGTTGCTTTTGCAGCTCAGAGAATTTTTCTTCACTGCCCTCAATCAAAGAAGAAACCAAAAGACTCCAGAGAAAGCCCCTGAAAATTCTAATAGGCCCTTTCAGAAGGTTATCTTCCTCTTCTTGCAGATTTATACCAATAGCCTAGATACTGGTGCTGACTTTGTGATAGTTCATCCTTGTCTATGCAAAAGGTATCCAGAAATCCTTATTATGTTGGTATTCCTACACTGATGCAGGAATTTAGCTGTTTAGCAGCTGCTGTATAAACAATACCTTCTCAAGTTAACAAACATTACATTTCCAGTGATGGTTTAAACAAGAAGAATGACTAAGAGTAGAAGTAAGAATCCTGAAAAAAAGTTTTTAGCCATTCAAATGTCAACTCTGTGGTAAAAACTATCTACAGATTGACTAGCAATAAGACCAATTTTACTAAGATTCTTTTTTTCTGGATCTTTTTTCCGCTTTTATTAGTAATCATTAGTTGCCATAAGCTGCTTTAAGACACTTATTAGGCTGGTTAGACAAAGTATACTCATTCTAATTCAAGTTTTTCCACTGATATAACTGTTAACCATTGCACTGTCTTGTACAGCAACTACGATAGTGAGTTTAATAAATCAGTAACTGAACAATCTCTAAATATTGTTCCTGAAATTGCATCAATACATTTTTGGTCAAGAAAGGCTGGCTCAAACTTGCCTGGTGTAGTCTGTCTTTAAGGCACCCGTTCCAGCATATTGTTTGGCACAAGCATTTGCGTTATCAGCCCATGCTATGAACAGAGAACAGTGTTTTGTAAAAAAGAGATAGCAAGTAAGTAGAACACAGGATTTGTTTTGTTTTACTTATCAAAACAAAAACCTACCATTTTTATAAATTTTCTCAAATTCTGCTTGTTCTTCAAGTCTCTGGCCAACGTGCAAAACACCTAATCTCTATAATGACAAAAAAGACCATTATTTACTATTAAATGAGAATCCTGCTAAGATTTTAAAAGCATGGAAATTAGAACTTCAGAAAACACCCATGCACAGAAGCATATTTGCACGTTTCAATATAACACTTTCAGGAATGATACATCTTATATACCAAATGGCTATTAGAGTTATTACATACTTAAATTCCTAAAATACCAGCAACATGTCCTTATACAGAAGGCAATCTTAACCTGCAGTTGTGCTTGTAGAGAACGGCGTGCTAAAAGGCTCTGAACCACATTTGTTCGGTCCAGGCAATCCATACAGTTGCTGCGGAATATTCCTTCTTGTTGCATCATCACCTTCCCTTCTG